TCCGTGGGATTTGAACCCTAGACCTGCTACTTGGAGAGGGTGACGACTTGACCACTTCACTAAGCCGCCACACCTCATTAAGATATATTTATTTACGGTACAATATCAAGATATAAGGCTATCCTAAGGTATCTATGCATAAAGAATTCTAATAACTTAAAGATTGTAGGGGACAAATCCTAGAGTGTAAGAGAGAGTAAAAGCTAGGGTTTATATAGTTTTTATAACTAATATAAATTATATAATAATAACAATACAAAAGTAGAAAAGGTATAAAAAGTATTAAATATATAAAAGGTATAAAAGGTATAAAAGGTACAAAAGGTATGAAAGGTACAAAAGGTATGAAAGGTACAAAAGGTACAAAAGGTACAAAAGGTATGAAAGATACAAAAGATACAAAAGTTACATTTCATCTATTGTCTATCTTTGTTTCTCAATTGCTGGCTATTTAATAGTTCGTTTAACATATATTGTAGCTCATTACGATTATCATGATCTTCTGAATCTTTTGGAAACATAATCTCTAATATGTTCTTAGTCATTCTATAACAATATAATAAAATATTCCAGAATTTTCTACAAGCCTATTTTTGTATTCTGGGTTAAAATAACCCGGGTGAAAATAGATTTTTTCTTATTAAAATTTCAAATAAACTAACTAATTAATTAATCTATTATTGCACTTTACAAAAATATATAAACACTACTGATCATTTTTTCATGTAAGAATCTAGATTTTTTATGATTTTAAGAATTTTAAAGAAATATAAACATAACAAATTGAAAACGTAAAGTAACTAACGATTTTGGATCTTGGTGATTCTTAACCATTATATCACTAAAATAACATATTTACATCTTTTTGCAAAATGCTATAATTATTTAATTAATCATCAACAGTTAATTAGTTTTCTAATAAAATTCTCATCAATTCAATTAAGAAATTATTTAATTGATTTTTGATTTGTAACACTATTCTTAATTCGCCAAAACCTATAAAATAAAAAAACCAGAATATGAACTCTTTAATTAAAAATTATAAACCTTTTAAAAACTTTAAAAGAGAAATTATCTTAAGTTAAGTGATTGAATGAATGCTGTTTCACAATTACAATTTTTAAGATATTTAATAAATTCTTGATTGCATCTCTTAAATATCAAGTTTAAGCTTGAATTCCCTCATGCTATATTTATTAAAATCGATTTCAAATTTCAAGTTAAATCTGAATTGCTTTACACTATACCTTTTTATCATTATTAAATTTGAATTTAATATTTTATTAAAATAGAATTTGAATTTCAAATCAAATCTGAATTGCACAAATTTAAATTTTTTTATCTACAAAATAGATCAATTACAAATTCAAAATTATTATAATTAAACCTCAATTGTCTCAAACTAAATTTTTTGGTTTCCGTAAATCTATTTTTATTTTAATACTGCCAATCTCAAGTTTTTCTACAAATAATATATTACTCTAATGAGATCGTTAAAGTTATAATCACAGTAATCATAGCTATAACCATACCGAAATATCTTACTATTGAAAAATTACTTATATTTTATTAATATAGATCCTCTAAATATCTTTTCTACAGATATTGAAGTTATACTATTTTTTTATAGTTAACAAATACAGTAAGTTAGTATATAAGCATATTGTGATAAAATTTCATAATTTGACACTTTTAATTAGAAATATCGTATAATATTGTAATCTGTTCTTTATCTTACTCTAGTAGAACTGTGAAAGTAAAATATCATAAGATTCTTGACCAATATTTAAAATCTTTTTACATATAACCAAATGAGCAATTACCTTTTCACGCTTTTTAGATAAATATAAAAGGAAAAACATATTAAAGCTCAAGACCAAAAAGAGAATAAAAAAAAATTATAATTCAGTTTATTATTAATAAATTGCAAATCACAAAATCTGTTCAAGTAATTCATATCGTTATCACTATCTAATAAAATAAATAAAATTAAAAAAAATTTACAAAACTTCACATATAAAATTCATCACATTTAAGTAAAAAAAAAATAATTCAATCTTTGTTTTTCTTTTATCAAAAAAAAAATGACTTCAATTTTTGTAGCCCTATGTTTTATTAAAACTATCTCAGGAAGTGAAACATGTATTCACAGAAATGCTGTTTACAGAACAAACAGTAACAAAGAAGAATTTAGAAAATTAACTTACAAAGGTTTTATAATCCAAGAATTCTTAATTACTGAGTTAGAAAAAAACTTCATAGCTTTAATGATTGGGAGATATGTACTTGAAGACACCAAATATATAAATATATCAATTAATACCCAACCCATAACTATAATATATTAATTTTTTTTTTTAAATACTAGCTTACTTTAATAAAAACCATACCAATTTCCACCTCCAATGATGAAATCAAAATTACTCCAGGTGACTTACTCTATTCGTCTCTACTATTACTATTTTCTGCTTCTGTCATTCCTAATACCCACTTTTCCAACAATAAATTTGGCAAAGAAAGTCTTATGCTTTCTAAAAAATTGTATAATGGCGCTACTAGTTATAAAAACATAGAAACTGAAATAATTGTATCTTATACCAATCAAAATAGTCAATATAATGTATTAAAAGATAATCTAAAAAAAACAGTTCTTTCAGTAATTAGAAGGTTAAAAATTGGTGCAAAAAAAATGCTTCATATTATAGCCACAGATATCAAATGGAACTATGCTAGTAATGAACAAACCTCTGATAATTCGAATAAAGTAAAAGCAAAAGCTCAAGGTGACATCAATGACCATCTCGAAAGTATTAAAGAAAAGTATACCAAATTAAATTCTTTCTCCTCAAAAAAAAAACAATGCTCAAATTTACTACCTACTTCTTCATCAAAAGTACAAAAGACCGACCCTCAAAGCAATAATTCAAAAACCCAAAACGATAAATCTCTAGCTAATAATTTTTTACAAGCTATAGGTCAAATTAAAAATATTGGAACTGGACCTCAAAATAATATTATCAATAACAATAATCTATCTGCTCTCAAATAGATTTTCCTACTAACTTTTCTTTTTTTACTATTAAGCCTGCAAATTTCTTTCTTTGTTTTTTATAACTCAACTGAAACAAATTTTATATCACTAAAACTTAGAAATTTTAAATTTGTATGCACTTAATAAATAAATTTCACAATTTTTCTTTTTTTAGAAAATTATCAAATATACTTTAATATTCAGATATGTGTAACATATAAATCATGACTATCAAAATGCAAGCCTATAATTGGCTAAAATTTATACTATATAAAAATTTTGACTATCGAAACTAGAATATAAAATTTTTTAATACTATATAATGTATATATAATAATAAATTAAATAAAAAACTTTTCTTATAATCTATGCTTTAAAAAAAAATAATAATAGTATTTCTTGATGTTAAAAACGTTTTACTTTAAAAACCAAATTTAATAAGTTTTGTAACCTGAATATACTCTATTTACATAATTAACGCGAATTAAAAATTTTAAAAATTATATTATTTCTATTATATCTTCAATTCACAAAATAAATAAAATCATTCACAATTAATGAAACACTTCGAAATTCTTATTGAAAAAAAAATTTTATAAATACACTGTATATACTGAAATAAAAGAAATAATTGTGGCTGGGTAATGTACTGTCAACTTAGCACATATTAAAAATTGCTGCCATCTAAACAGCTTTGAAGATTTCTCAATAATGGTCTAGCCAAATTCAATACCTACGTATAACCATTATCAAATTGACTCTTTATCGTTATTCAATAACTTTACCCTTAAGTTAATATATAATTATTCTCAATTTTATTCTATATACAGCTAGTCGCATTTCTAAAATAATTACTATATAATTAACAGATCAACAACTACCTTATTTTAATAACTAATAGTCTTTCGTATATTCCTTAATCAAGACACAAATCATGCATGCATGAAAGAAATCTTATACATAACAAGGAAATATTGAACTAATAATTGTCGCAAATCATAATGAAATCAGATTAAAATGAAACTGAGAATCTTTCTTGATCATCTTTAAAGCTTATAAAACTCACTTATACTCTTTTATTAATAAAACTAACTCTAAACTCTAACCCTAAAAAATGTCCCTCAAAAAATTTTAAATTTTCCTAAAAAAATAGAAAAATTTTATTTTAATCTGCTACAATAATTAAAAACAGATAGTTCTATTGAAAATACACAAAAGGAATTAACATTACCAAAAAAATATAAATCGTGCCTTATTGTTATATAAACTTTTGAAAACCTCAATAGCACCCTAACTAAACAATAAAAAAAGAAATTATTGATTTCTTAAAATTATTGAAAATTTGTTTGGCTGAATTATCAAATCTATATATTACTATTTATTATTGAAGATTCAAGAAGTTATTATCTCAAAAACATGCAGTGTTAATTTCATTGAAAGATTTATTATTATTTACATAGAAAAAAATATCTAGAATAACTTTTAATAATGATACGAAATTTAGATCATAAAGACCTATTGAATGCATATTTTACAAAATTAAATCAATTACCACATTATTAATCAAATTTAAAAATCAAATGTATAAAAACTCTTTCTCTTAGCCTTAATAAATTCCTTCCAGAACTTGATTCTACAAAATAAAAAATAATATCAAAATAATCAACAGTACAAAATTTAATTCAAACTAAATAAATTTAATACCATTAACTTATCTTATGATCATATTCATATATTAAAATTGGGTTCCAATATAACAGTATCATTATGTATACAATAAAGCTTTACTACAATAAACAAATTAAATCAATTATGTTTAATAATGAAATAAACTGCTTCCCTCTTATTACATCCCTTACAGAAGAATTACACAATTTAGAAAATAATACAAATTCTCAAATCAATACACTTTTTAAACCTTATACCTAAAGAAATAAAATTAATCAAAACCTAATCAATACACTAACCCCAAATGATACAAGAAAATTAATCAAATCAAACTTCTTACCTCAAATTAACAACCCTTTTACACCACAAGCAAGTCTTTTGAGTCTCTTAATAGGCAATTCGCCAGTCACCTGGATAAAAAATTTTTTTTTATATATAAATTTTACTATAAGTGCGAATGCACAGTGCTTCTATCTAAAACTTTTTTTTATACTAAGTAAATCACTTTTCGGCTTCTAACAAAAGTTGTAGAGCTCATAAAAATATATTTAATACTAAAAGAATATTAAAATTGGTTTGGTAGTTCTTGAGAAATCTTTAAAAAACTTCTTCTTCATATATAAAATTTCTTTGATTTTTTTAAAGAAATTTTATATGTAAAGAAGAAGTTTTTTAAAAGTTTCTCAAGAACCACCAAACCAATTTTAATATCTTTTTAGTATTAAATACATTTTCATGAGCTTTACAACTTTTGTTAGAAGCCGAAGAGTGATTTACTTAGTATAAAAAAAGTTTTAGATAGAAGTGCTGTGCATTCGCACTTATAATAAAATTTATATATAAAAAAAAATTTTTTATTCAGGTGACTGGCAGATTGCCTATTAACTAAATTTTAAACAAAATTATTATATAAATATCACAATATCTCTTGTGCCTATTGCTTAATGCTCATGATGAAATCCTCTGTAAAATGGCTACCTTATGATAATGATGAACAATACACCTTAATACTTGTCTTTCCTAATATCTCTTTACATACATATCAAAACAATCGAAATATCACACAAGTAGCTGTTTGTAACAGATGCAAAAACAAAAATACTCACTATTATCCTCCAATATTAGCAGACGTTCTTCTTGAAATCAAAAGTATTCTGATGTTTTACAGAAGATATCTCTTTCCCGTACATATGAGCTGCTCGTTAGAGCATGCTGCTAGCACTAATCACTATACCTATTATTATTATCTAGAAGAATTAATAAATATTTCACATAACTATCGCACATTAGAAGTTTATTCTAGAACTGCTGGAGCCTATCTAAACATGAATAAACCTCCAAATTGGTTTCACAAAACTCTAATTTCTGTCTCTAATTGGCTTAAACAGAATAATGATTTCATCAAAACATATGCATCAAACATTAATATCATACAACTATCCCTAGAAACTCAGTATCTATTCCATTCCTACTAGCAAGACAATCAATTAATACTCAAAAATCATTTCCCAATATTTATTGCAGTAATCTTCCTGACAAAACACCACATCCCTCTGACTTAGTTATTCCAAACGATTCATTCTCACGAGAAATTCATAATGAAAACTCATATTATAGTCGATTGATAGCTGAATCAATAGAAAACACTAACCTACCCATCTTATTTAATAATCCAGATTTGGAAGCATTAATATTTCCTGACCTATTTTCTAATAATAAGAGTCATTATGAAAATATAAAGTAACTATTAGACTTTCAACCTTTAATAGAAAGTTATAGAAAATATATAAAATTAAGAATGCTATGTCCTGATCCTTGATTTTGCCTACATTGGTATTGGCCACATTGGTCATATCTAAACTTAGAAAAAAAACAAAACTTCCAAAACCAACACCACATATTATCAACCCATAATATCAATAGAGATCATTACCCTATGAGTGCAAATTTAATTAGCAAAAGTTCTTACAACAATAGAACTATTTTAAATGAAACAATAACAACTACACTTCCCTCAAGCCTCAGAACTGTCTCTTCTTTTTTTAAAAAAAACAGCTACAAGTTAATACAATGGTAGATGTATATGGCCTACTACAAATATTTTATACAATGACCTTGGTCGAAGACAAATCACCATATCTAAAAGAAATTTTAGAATCAACTGACAATAATGATACATTACTAACAAATCGCCCATTACATGTCTACCTGTTTTATTGCAACTACTTAAATAACATCCGAAACAAATTGTAGAAAAATGAAGATTTAGCCAGATAGGGAAGTGGAAGCACTATTTTGAACGTGACGAATTTTAAAATAGAGAAACAATATATATACATAGCTTTGCCTGCACTAAAAAAAAAATTCTGAATTAATCAACCTTAATTTAATTTGTGCCAACATACCAAATCCTAATACTGAACCTAAATTATATCAACTAGTTACAACATTCCAAATACACCATTACGACTACAGATATAGAGGACCAAACTCAAATAGTAAACTGTGTTCTAAAGGTTTCCCTCAACTACTATCTCATATAACTTATTGTTCATCTAACACTTTGTGCTATATATATCATCATACCAAAGAAGAAGATTGCATAGTCATTTCATACTACTCTGAAACTCTATTAATCTAGAGAAGGCATATAAATTTTTAATATATTACAACTACTAGATTTGCAAAATACATAACAAAATATATAACTAAAGCCAAACCTTCAGAGCTCTTTGATATTGATAAAAAGGATGAATACAGACGACATATCATGGCTCAACGATTAGAAGCAATGGATTTAATAGTACTTCTACTCTAATACTCACTAACAAGATATTCTGTATCCATATACTATCTTCTTTTTGCATTTTTAGAATTGAGACTAAGATTTGTCAAGCCCATTCACTTATTAAATACAATAAATGATGATGACAATGATGATAATCCTAACAATGATAGCACTCTATATTGGGACGATGCAATCAACAAATACTTTGATTGTCCTGACCATGAAGATTTTCAATTTATTACTTACTCTGAATATTTCAAAGATTACGCTATAGGCTCAAAACAATCCAGCCAACGCTCAAGATTCTTTTATATCCGCAACTGCAAAAATACTGTAGAATAGTTATCTGATGTAAATCGCCTATTCTTCTAAGGTTTGCAATATATAAAGTTGAAGATAAAGAACCTTTCTTTTTTCAACACATCCTGATGAAAATCCCTGCAAGATCAGAACAAGAATTATTAGGAGGACATTCCATATATAAAGAACATTTTAAATTCATATTTCTCATTAGATACCAACAAGCAATTGATTCAATACACAGAAGTTATCTAGAAGAAAA